GTGGATCTCTAACGTCTGGCAGTTTCCGTTCAATTGATATTAAATCACTGATGTATTGATTGAATGCATTGCTTTCCCATCCCTTATCTATTTTGCGCTGAATTTCAGTCGAAATATTCTGCAAAAAGAGAAAATCACACAAAAAATAAGAGACAGAATCAAAAAGGGAGAGAAAGATAGGAAAGAATTAAATTAAATTTAGACTAAATGTAGAACAAAACAAAAAACAACACTAATATATTTAAAAAAAACTGTTGTCAGCTCTCAAGCAATCAAACAAAACGGCAAAAAATAAAACAAAAAATACTGTAAATAACAGAAAATAAATGCTAAATATGACAATAATATTAATATATTATATTAAATAATATAACAAAGGGTTGGCTTACGGTTAATACGACAGGTTTGCCCATTTCGCCATAGCTTGAGGCGTCTTTAGGCGCCGGTATCACAGCTGCTCTTTCCAACTCTTCCTTCTGTTCAAAGAATTCAAACATATATTTTAAATACACATTCAATGGACACACAAAACAATACCACAAATTATATAACAGAGAGGAATGTATTATTAAAATTCAAGATTTAATCTCAAAAACAAATCTCTGGTAAAAAGAAAGAGAAGACCAGAAGAAGAAAGGGATTAAATGGGAAGAAGAAAAATACTGACGAGAAAAACACGATTTAAAAGTCAAATACCTTTTCTCGAAGTAATTGCGATTTTTTATTCATTTTTGGTTTTTTCCTAATTGTATTGTCTTCTTGAGGGACCACTTCGAGAAGAAGAAAAATACTGACGAGAAAAACACGATTTAAAAGTCAAATACCTTTTCTCGAAGTAATTGCGATTTTTTATTCATTTTTGGTTTTTTCCTAATCGTATTGTCTTCTTGAGGGACCACTTCGTTGTCGACCGCATTGTTATGCCTGTCATTGATGGGCACCTGTGGCTCGACGGCCAGCGCCTGTGCCTCCGGTGGCCGGCCCTCAGACTTGTTGTTCGTTGTGGTCATCCGTTGGTTCAACGAGAATATCAATGTTATGAGAAGCCATGTATGTCATTGATGGGCACCTGTGGCTCGACGGCCAGCGCCTGTGCCTCCGGTGGCCGGCCCTCAGACTTGTTGTTCGTTGTGGTCATCCGTTGGTTCAACGAGAATATCAATGTTATGAGAAGCCATGTGAACGGTATTAACAATATTAACCGTATGTAAAGCCCTCGTCGTCGCGGAAAAAGCATTTTCACCCAACAATTGTATATATAATTTGAGACTAAATTTCTATATATTTTTTTCCTATGAATATTAATTAAATATTCTCTCGGCTCTAATGCTTGTGTTGAACCAAATGATATCTCCAAACGTATGCTTTCATTAGTTTTATTTAATTAAAATACGTTTCGTGCGATTCAGTGCCTAAAATGCAAGAAAATAAGACAAAAACAGACAAAATATGAGAAATTGTTTGAGAAATATATCGGAAAAATATAATTTAATTTAATATATTATGCGATAAAAAAGATAACAAATAAAAAAATAGTAAGAGTTATATAATTGCAAAACGTCTAACAAAATCTATACGATTTATACGTCCGCTTCAACTCTAATGAAAATTATGGACAAATTTAACATATTTTTGCATTTTTATCATTTTTTCGTTGAGCTATTCGTATAGCTATTACTGACAGCCAGTATGTCATTGATGGGCACCTGTGGCTCGACGGCCAGCGCCTGTGCCTCCGGTGGCCGGCCCTCAGACTTGTTGTTCGTTGTGGTCATCCGTTGGTTCAACGAGAATATCAATGTTATGAGAAGCCATGTAAACGGTATTAACAATATTAACCGTATGTAAAGCCCTCGTCGTCGCGGAAAAAGCATTTTCACCCAACGATTGTATATAGAATTTGAGACTAAATTTATATATATTTTTTCCTATGAATATTAATTAAATATTCTCTCGGCTCTAATGCTTGTGTTGAACCAAATGCTATCTCCAAACGTATGCTTTCATTAGTTTTATTTAATTAAAATACGTTTCAGTGCCTAAAATGCAAGAAAATGAGACAAAAACAGACAAAATATGAGAAATTGTTTGAGAAATATATCGGAAAAATATAATTTAATTTAATATATTATGCGATAAAAAAGATAACAAATACAAAAAAAATAGTAAGAGATATAAGTTATATAATTGCAAAACGTATAACAAAATCTATACGATTTATACGTCCGCTTCAACTCTAATGAAAATTATGGACAAATTTAACATATTTTTGCATTTTTATCATTTTTTCGTTGAGCTATTCGTATAGCTATTACTGACAGCCAGTGGTGTTGTCGTTGTGTTAAGCGAAACGATTCAACATTTTTGAGTGAAAAAACTTATGCTTTACTCTCGCTATTAAAGTCAAGTCAGAATCGGCTCTTATATTGCATAATAAGTTAGAAAAATATATATAAGTAGAGAGAAAATGCAATTTTATGCTAAAATACTTTGAATAAAAGCTTAAAATTGGTTATGAAATGAATACTTCTGGAGAGCAAAGTATTTTCACCCATATATTTTATTTATAATAACGAGAATACCATAAGTAAAAGCAGCAAAAAAAAGTTGTGCAAATCGTAAACATAATTACACAGATGAGTGTGTCATACGAGTAGTCCCTTATATAACCACATTCTTGTCGGTCGTCTCCCAAACATTCAATATGTATGACAAAAACAGTACAAAAAGAGATCCCTATTTCACTTTCTCTCTCTTCCCTTCACTATTAAAGTGATTATAAACGAGTCATTAAGTAATTCACAAAATGAAAAGATCACGACTTCTATCTCTATTACAACTAATGTTTAGTACATTATCTCATGTTTATTATGAATGGAAAACGCATTGCTTTAGAAAATAGAGGACTAAATTTAATTCACAATAAAATATATTAAATGCAAAAATATTTCATTCAATTCCTGTCACAGAATTTGAATACAGCAACAAAAAAGAGACCGAAATTTAAATCATATGTTGTCATAGTTTTTGTTGGACTGACAATAGATGCGGTGCTCAGCGAAAGAAATCATAAAATATTGATTTTATTCAAATGATCCGCACATTAGTGACGATCGGAGTCTAGTATTACAGGATATTACAGAATATTCTGTGCTTTTTGTATGAAAAATAAATATAACGTTTTGCGACAAAAAATATAATCATTTTAAAAGTCAACTGAAATTATTTTCTGCCCAAAAATAATTATTAAAACAAAAATGAAATCAAAATAATAATAATAAAACACATTCATTAAAATTCACACGATATCGTCGGACATTATAAAAATTATTTCAGTAATAAAATTACTGCTAATTAATGAATGAATTATTTTCATCGCATAATAAGCGGCCAAACAATGGATTAAAACAATGCAATATATAATGGCATAGATTAACAAATGTTTCGTTCAATTCAACGAAACAAATGTGTCTCAATATTTTTGGGCTCAAAATATAGTTCATTAAACATAACGATCAGTCATTGTATTGAGTACTGGGGAGAGAGAGAGAGAGAGAGAGAGAGAGGATTATTTGATATAAAATAATTTAATATTTAATCAAAACATACATTATTTTGTGCTGAATTACATTTGAGCCGAGCGTTCATACGATTGGTCGTTGAAATATTTTGTCAAAACTTGAGTTTCATTCACACATCGGCTTCAAATCCAATATGAATTTAAACTCAATTCGAGAGAGAGAGAGAGAGAGAGAGAGAGACTGAATGAATGATAAATGAATTGAATACATGAATGCTTAAGTTTAGTGGAGATTAAAAGTGGTATTTTTTGTCATCAATTCACTTTTGAAGCATATATTTGTTATCAATAGTTAATTAGCAAAAGTATTCATTAGAAGATGCAATCAAACCATTCATTGTGTATTAGACTATACGTTATATCATTGAATTACTAGTAATAGACAGTAATATCTGTGTATAACTTACATAAATGCTAATAAGATCTGAAAATATCATATAAATATTATTTAATTAATTCAACGACCAATCGTATGAACGCTCGGCTCAAATGTAATTCAGCACAAAATAATGTATGTTTTGATTAAATATTAAATTATTTTATATCAAATAATCCTCTCTCTCTCTCTCTCTCTCTCTCTCTCTCATCAAAAACTTGTTTATTTATATGTATTAAAGATGTTCTCATTTCAAACATATCTCTCAATTAAATACAATTGCAATCAAATCCCAAATTAAACCTATTATTTAAGAACTACTTTGAGTTACAATTGAATTTCAAAGCAATTATACAATTATCTGATTAACAAATAGACAAACAAATTATATTAATTAAAATTTACGACAAAACATATAAATTCTTATCAATTATTAAACAAACATAAAAATTGTGTAAAATTGCGATAAAAAGTAGGGGAAAGAGAGGTTTGCGATAAACTCTATGATAAGTCCAGTCTATGGATGATTCGCATGTGATTTAAGCATATATTGAGCAAAAAAAACAGACAAACCATTTGGCAAATTATAAGTCAATAACATGTGATGGCAACACATATTTTGCATAACTATTATCAAGTAATGGAAAAAATTTCGACACATTTTTTTCATACATTGAATACAACTCTTGTCAAAAGTATTGAAAAAATTGGGAATCGATTTAAAACGCATACAAAACCATCTATTAGTAGCGATGAAGTGGAGAGAGAGAGAGAGAGAGAGAGAGAGAGAGAGAGGATTATTTGATATAAAATAATTTAATATTTAATCAAAACATACATTATTTTGTGCTGAATTACATTTGAGCCGAGCGTTCATACGATTGGTCGTTGAGAGAGAGAGAGAGAGAGAGAGAGAGAGAGAGAGAGAGATCAGAAAAACTAATGTCTTGAAGGATAAGAGAGGAAAAACATTTACATAAAATGTATTCAAAGACAGTCTACGAAAGAAAGAAAAACACAACTTTCCCATCCATTTAGACCTTCACTTGACTTAAGGCATGCATTTTCTACTCTCCCTATTCTTGTGCTCCAAGTTTTGCATCAAATGATGAGCTCATATATGCAGTCAATTAATGTATGTTTGAAAGTGTGGCTCACATTTTTGATGGCAACACAACTAAACGATGTAACGATAGCTGATGTCATTTCACATGTAATTACTCTTACATATTGTTGTTTAAATTGTGTGTAGTTTTCAAATACATTGAGTGAGAAGAAAAGTTTTGCCACTTTTTAAATGAAAATAATAACACAAACAATGGTTTTGTGCCGGAATTGAGATAATTGTTGTCTCTGTTGATGGGATGTGACACAAGAAACAAGACATTCGCTGATTAAACAACACATCACTTAAATGTGTATCGGATTTGCAATTTAGATGCGCTTCTGATAAACACATATACCGTTCAGACAATCGCTTTTTACGACACTTTCCGCACAAACAATACACTATTGAGTGTTAAAAACGGCGATAAGTTATACATTCAGATGAGACGGACATTGAGTTTATTGCATCCATAATATCGTCCGAAAAACTTAATTCAGTTTCTGTTTTGACATAAAAACACAAACATTTGACGCTTAAAAATAACGGCAACATATCCTACGCTATACAACACACCGGAGTGTTAGGCACTAAAGCCATAAAAATAAACAAACCTCTCAGACAAATGACATCAAACATAATAATCGCATCAAATATATAATAAAAATACGTTTACAGATAATAAGTAAATAAAACCTCAATATATATAATGATAGCATTAATTGTGCGGAAATGGACTCAAAATTAAATTTTTCACAAATGTTTTCTGCGTTAAAAATCATTGTTCGTAACCAACAAAACACATCAGGTTTGGCGAAAAACAACAACAATAATAAAAAAAGGTAATTTTCACACAAAAATCATCATCATTTTCATCTCATCCGAGAGATATTTTAATGAGCATTCATTGCAATCATATTTTTATGAACCATTTCGTCTCTCTCTCTCT